ACTGTCACTTTTGATCAATTTAAAATGCTAAATTGTTTGAATTATGAAATTATATAAAAAAAAAAAGATCTTACTAACCCCAAACTTTTGAACGTCAGTGTACATGAATGAATTTAAAACATTGTGACACACAGAAGCATTTTAATTTGAAAATACACACAAATTTATTTAAATTTATTTAGCTTTTTTTTTCTTTTGACTACTTATGAGCCAGTTCTTTGAATTAATTGGTCAGTTTGAAGAAAATTACTATTGAGTTACAACTCAAATAATGCAGTGAATCATTTGTCTATTTAATTTAAATGTACTGTCCAAACTATTTTATTTCCTAAAACAAAGAACACTGAGAAAGAGCACAAACGCACATTTGTGTGTCCATCAACAAACCAACACTCACTGACGTGGACAAACACTGGCTGTGTACCTGAGCAGAGGGAGATGGCGCAGGCCACCAGAGAGTAGCTGGTGTTGAGCAGAATCACCTGGTCTTTCTTCAGCTGCAGCGCCGGCTGGAACGTTGGGAACGGATAAACCACCTGATAGCGAGCGTTCAGAACGTAACCGTGCTGCAGACACTCGCCACCTGCACACATGTGAACGGAGAAAAGTGTTTGTTTGCTAGGGACTGGAAAGGAGCAGTTAGTCTAAAGTTAAAATATACTACTGCACCTGTGCGTATGGTGGACACGGAGGATGCGGGGCGGCACTGTCTGCACGGTTGTGCGGGAGGCATTGAGGTGATGGTGATGTAGATGTCCCTGTTGTTCTCATCACTCATCATCATGTTCATCAGGGCTGAACTGGAGCTGCGCGTGCTGACAGATCACAGAGAGCACATGTTTAGATAAGCATAATAACCCAGCCACTGGCTCATAACACACAGCACAGAAGCGGAAGACAGACTCTTACTTAAAGCCGAAGATGACCAGTTTGGAATGATCATTGTGCCACTCGCAAACAGTCAGATAGAGATCGCTGTAGATGTCCTCACCCGCAAACAAACGCACATGATGCACCTGCAAAGAAAGACAAAATTTGCCACATCGCTCTAAATGTGAAGAAGCTACAACTACAGACTGTATTAGTATAATATCAGTTTCTTTCATATTTTGCATTTTGAGGGGATTTCATGGTACTAAACAATATTCACCTCTAAATAATTTTTACATTTACATTAAATCATTTTGCAGACACTTTTATGCAAAGCGACTTGCAAATGAGGACAACAGAGGCAACCAAACCAACAAAAGAGCAACAATATATAAGTGTGGTGACAAGTTCCTGTTAGTCTAACGCAGTACACGTAGCAAGGTTTTTTTTATAATAAATAAAAAGAAAAAAAAGTAGATAGAAAAGAAATAAGATAGAGCTAGTGTTAGAGGGTCAGGATATTATTATTTTCTTTATAATAATTAAAAAGAAAACAAGTAGATAGAATAGAAATAAGATAGAGAGTGCTAGTGTTAGAGGGTCAAGTTTTTTTATAATAAATAAAAAGTAAACAAATAGATATCTAAATAACACAAATATTATAGAATATTCAATTTCATATTTTCAATTAATACAGTATTTAAGTTAAAAATACATGATTTGTAGATTGTGCACCATTCATTTCCAATGGTAATCATTTTGGTCCGTGAGAATCACAAGGTTTTAATAAGACTATTTTTAATAAAACCTTATCTAAACACGTTAAATCATTTTTTTGTGGTCACAGGCGTGCCACAGAAATCACCAAGTTTCGCATCACAGTAACAAAATAATAAAAATAAAAATTCCAAACAAAAACATTTTTCGGTCTGAAATGACTGAAGACCACGAGAGGGTTAAATCAGAGTTCAAAGAACAGATAGGTTCAATGTGCGGCTGTTTTACCTGTTTGAGGCGGCTGTGCAGGTTGAACTCCCACCAGTACAGGTGATACGTGTAGAAGGAGAAGTCGTCGTCCTCTCCGCAGTCACTGGTGTAGGACAACACATACCGGCCGCACTTGGTGAAGCCTAGGAAGATGTGCCTGTGACAGCAGAGAGACAGACCAATCAGATACAGCATTCACATTGCTCCGAGATAACGGATGGGACCGACTGCATCTTCTCCTCACCCTGCTCTGAGAAACTCCTCGCTGACGATGGTCTTCAGCGGGACGCAGACGCGTGGAGGGAGTTTCCGGAAGAGCCGCTGAAAGAGCTGCCCATTCAGCTGACAGACAGACAGAGAAATATTAATACAGATATAGAGTAATACAACTGGAAATATTAGCCATGAGTACAGTTAAACAGGCTATTAGACTGACTTTGTAGACAAAGCTACTTAAGGGTGCTTTGTTAAATATCTATGATGTTAAATATCTATGATAAAAGTCCATGGTGGTTATGATAACCAGTTAAAAACATGTTTGCACTGAACACCACCTGACTGAGGCATTTCTACCATTCATTCATGTTAAGTACTGACCTATTTTCATGAATGAGATAGTTTTCAGGATGGAGACTGTCAATTCAGTGTGAATGATAGATGTCAGTGCAGAATAATGAACAATAATGTACTTTTGACCATTGATGGAGAAATCAATCATAACAATTGTTTGTTGCTCTTGTTGCCCCAAAGAACCATATACTGCTAATAAAACATGTTTCCATAGGTGTGTCAATTAAAAGGCTCACATATATAAATAATAAACGCTGAGAGACACATAAAGACGTTTAATGAGGCTACAGCTAAAAATGCTAATAGCACACACATTATTATCTATGTTACGCTTAGAGAAAAAAAAAACATTTCACGCCATTAATGCCACTTTTGGCCCAAATTCCCCCTTTCTTCCTACCCGCCCACGCGTGAGGAGTTTGACGATGTGATCTTTGTGTTTTTTCTGTTGTGTTTGTTTGTTGTCATCTTTCTCAGATTTCGTGCTGGGTGCCATTTTTGATTTTTGCCAGCTCTTTGGATTTGCCCTCAGTCCAGCCAGACCAGTTCACCGATTGGCTCTGCGTTCTCAGATGAGGGCTCTGATTGGTCACAAACGCCGCCAATCAAAGAAACGAGGGCGGGCGTTCTACTACGTTCTGATTTTGCTATGCATATTAATCGCCCAAACAACCCTTCTTATTTTTATTTTTTGTACAATTAGTGCATATTAAGTGTTTGAAAATACTTGTTTGTAAATGAGTTCATATTTTATGAGGTTTCTGATTAGTCTGCTAATCTCATACATAATGTCAACGTCGTCTCAATCTACGTACTGCAGTAGCCTAAATTATAAAATTATAATGTATTTAATATTTTATATTCTATTCAATTGAATTTTACATTATCACTTTTAAGTACACTTCGGCAATGAATGAATACTAATTAAGTTTATTAATTAATTAATTAATTAATTAATTAATACATTTGTGTCACACTGTCATATCCTTCTCCTGACTTTTGTCGTGCATTTCTCTGAGACCCTACATGCCACAGGCTTTTTAGGAATATCACATGTTTGGAGGTTTGATCATAAACACTCCCTCTCCTTGGTCTTTAAATATGACTGATATTGACAGAATTATCAAATGTAGCACTCTTAGGGAAATATGATACTATTTTGTAATTATCATTTAAATCTGGCTAATTTTCAAATTGCTTGTCGTAAATAAACATCTCAGAAAAAATGTTATGTCGTTTCAAATTGGAATATGACTTTTTGTTACGAAACGGCATAATTTTCATACATGTCTTATGTAGAGGACAACAGGACAAATGGCATGTTAATCAGGCATTTTGGGGAGACACAACAAGAAATTATAGATCAATATTCCTATGAAATATGAGATATTCTTATGAAAATTATGCCAAGTTATTACTCCCATTATTATTTTCAAATTGCTTGTCGTAAATAAACATCTCAGAAAAATGTTATGGCGTTTCAAATTGGAATATGACTTTTTGTTACGAAACAGGGTATAATTTTCATACATGTCTTATGTAGAGGACAACAGGACAAATGGCATGTTAATCAGGCATTTTGGGGAGACACAACAAGAAATTATAGATCAATATTCCTATGAAATATGAGATATTCTTATGAAAATTATGCCAAGTTATTACTCCCATTATTACACTTATTTTTTCATTATGGTTTGACCCAAGAATTCACACTGATATGCAAACTAGATGCAATCTATAAATACATTGAATAAAATGGGAATACCAATGTATAGACATTTTACGCAGATATTGCATGAAGTGAAATAGTATATCAAATCATTCTGTTATATCTTTCATAACATAGCTGAGAATCATCTTTGTACAAAGTTTGGCTAAAAATAGCCTGAAACCTAAAATTGGTGAATGAAAAAAATTAAATATTGTTTTTGCCTATACATGGCTTTTCATGTCTATTTTTTATTTAATAACTTAGTCCTGGCGTCCTCTACAAAGGACATAGAATACAATATGAATCAAATACTTTTTTCAAAAATATTTTTTCTCCATTTGTTTCTTATGCTCCAATCAATGTAATGACATTTAAAAAAATCACAAGACTTTTTTTTTTCCTGGTTCTCAGGAGGATATTGTTATGCTATTATCAAGACTTATCATACTTACCATGTATACCGTGGGGTAGAGGACTTTAAACCTGTGATCTGAAGGTGAGTCTCAGTTGAAACAGCTGATACATGAATGTTTGTGTGAACTCCCTCACTCTCCTTTATGACTGATAAAGGAGATTTTGATAAAGGAGACTGATAAAGTTGCCATTTTCTGAATATGTTATATGTATACATGTAGAGTCCCAAGCCATTATTAAGCTTATTACTAATGTAAAACATACAATACTATATAATAATAATTGAATACTTTACTTTTACTTTACTTTTAGTCATTTAGCAGACGCTTTTATATACAACTATTAAATAAAAATTACTGTAACAGAAGTATAAATCTCTTTTGCTGAGTTCAGTAATAAATATATTTGCATATTTAAAAAACAAACGCATATTTACTCCACCCCCTAATTACAAATCCAAAAGAGGCGGGTCTACTGGGCGTGTCTCTAAACGCACGGCACAAGCAGGAAACATGGCGTCGTTGGCAGGTCGTCTCTCTCGGGCTTTTTTCATTAGAAATACAGCAACACTGAGCCGCAACACTGGCCCAAATTCAGTAAACGCGATTTTCAGCCGAACCGCCGTGTCAACCACATCGGGAGCTGTCCCTCCTAAACCAGTTAAGGTACGTTTATACATGTCTAAACATTGCCGCTGGAGACTCCCGAAGGGACGCAGTAACCAGGGATGGGTTTCGTTCTAGCCAATGAAAATTAAGATTGGCTTGACTGACATGAGTAATGGCCAATCAAATTGTTGGAGCGGCACATATTTTATAAAACGAGGAAGTACTTCGTGTACGGTTGTTTATAAAATCAGTTATTTAAGTAATGATTTATTATTTATGTCAGTTTAACGAATGCGTTTTTTTTGCTTGCTGTTTATACAAAGCTTATTTTATTGTTTTTTTTTTAAACGCCGTTTGTACAGTTTTCGATCAGGGCACATATTATTATTATTATTAGTTATTGTATAATTTGATCTACTTCTGTCATATTTGTGCAGGTCCCGTTCGGTCTGACCCGCATGGCTATAGTGGGGGTTCCGTTCCTGTATGTCGGAAATCTGATCAGTAAAAATTTCGCTGCTCTTCTGGAGGAACATGAGATCTTCGTCCCAGATGATGATGATGATGATGACTGAGTGCAGGTACACGTAGTATATCAGTTTTATTACAGTCTATATTGTGCATTACTGTGTGTATGTGGTTTTTAGATATTCCTGTTCTTGTTCTTTCAGTGCATGTTTCTCTCCAGCAGTCTGAAGGTCTTCTCTGAGGTGCCTGATGCAGACGAACAGGATATATTTATGCAATAATAAAGATTGTCAACACATTTTTGTGTTTTCATTCCTGCATTACACTAACCATGTCCATAAGCCAAAGTTTAATGCTGTTTTTATGTTTTCAAAGACAATATGACTTGAGGCTGCCCTCAGCAGTTGCCTCTCTTCTATTTAATAAATTGCTTGAATGTTAGATGCTGGTTGTGTTTTTGTTATATATGTAACGTGTGTGTGTGTGTGTGTGTGTGTTATTGTACATGGTTTATCTTGCAATCATATTACATTGAGATTCATACACTTTCACACACATCCAACAGATGCAAGATTTTTATTGCATTTAACTTAAAATATACCTTGTTTTAAAAGCCTGGAATGTTTATTCACGTTCAGCACCACTGTAGTTTCTAATCAATAAGATTTTTTAAAAGAGCTCCACATAGCACAATATCCTGTATCTACATGACCAAATTGAGATGGAGAAACCAATGCATCCCATCCATCTTATTTGACCTCTTGTTGTGTTCTCATTGGTCGGTGCTGTTGCCTAGGAGACGCCCCTCCGCCAGTGCAGCATCAGTGAGTTTGAGGTGTTCTTTAAGTGCATTGATGTCTCTCTCACTGCGGCCCCGTAATTCAGTCAGCTCAACATACACCTGCTTGTAGCGCTCGCTCAATACTTCATTCTCCTGCAGGCACAGAGAACACCTTACTATAAATATTATTAGAAACAATCAATTTAGTGTTTATTCACAGCCAAACATTATATATATATACACTGAAGAATAGTGATAAACACAGTTTATGTACACTACCATTCAGACGTTTGGAGTTGGCAAGATTTTTTGGAAAGAAGTCAAAATACAGTTACAAAAAAAATAAATAAATTGTGAAATATTATTACAATTTAAAATAACTGTTTTCTATTGTAATATATTTTAAGATGTAATTTATTTCTGTGATGCAAAGCTGAATTTTCAGCATCATTACTCCAGTCTTCAGTCTCACATGATCCTTAATGTTTTTTGTGGAAACTGTGATAAATTTTTTTCAGGATTCTTTGATGAATATAAAGTTCAAAAGAACAACACTTATTTGAAATAGAAATCTTTTGGAACATTATAAATGTCTTTATTGTTAATTTTGATCAATCTAATGCGTCCTTGCTGAATAAAAGTATTAATTTCTTCAAAATGTAAAAAATCTTACTGACCCCAAACATTTGAAGTTTGATCTATTACATACACTTTTTTTTTCTCTACAGTAGGAGCATGTATGAAGAAAGTGAATAGTATTAATTTAGATTATATGACTTTCACAAGTAAAATGTGTACCTTAGTAAGAGTTTGGACCTCTTTTCTGAGACAGCTGATCTCCTTGTGAAGAAAATCCACCTCGCTCTCCTTCACCTTCAGTAACATCTACAGACAGACATGGACATGTCAGCATAACAATACTCCATCTACAACTTTACAATTCTGATACAATTATTTTTGACATAAAAAATGCATAAAATATTTGTTCTTGTAAAAATTCATTTGTCATAGCACTGGGATGGTGAAAATGAAATGGTGAGCAGTCACAGCACCTAAAATATACTTGTTCCCTCATGAATAGAAAAAAACAATGCCAATGTTATTTTTCAACACCCATACAAGTGTCATCAAAAATAATGTATAAACCACCCACACAAATGGACAAAGACAACATTACAGTAAATTTAGCAGGACTAAGGAAGGTAAACTGAATCTATGGCTGCAAAACAATCTGTATATTTACTGCTATTTGCTGGAGAAGGTTTACAGTGAGTTCACTATGATGATCAGTAGATGGCAGAGTCTGTCCGAGAAACACCGACCCCTCACATCACATGCCCCGCCCCTGATGACACCATCAGCCTCCAATACAACTCCAACACAACTTTTACAGTATGCATTATATGTACTCTCTCTGTATGTACATAGTGGAAATCCAATTGCATTTGCCAAAATCTGACATAATAAGGGGTCAAGTTTTAGCTGCTTAGCATGGTCCAATTAGCCCCTGCTGGTTAATGTTGTAATTACACCATCTGGACCCCAAAGGCATCTTCATTCTCACTCCTCAACCATAAGAGCTTATTTCACACACAGTGACCAATAACCCTAAATTCTGTGTACAATCCCCTCTTGTACTGGACAACGTGAAGTTTGAAGACAAAATATCACTGTTTTCTTCTGGTTTGAAGACAGACCAGGAAGTGCAGAGGACTTTTATTTAGGGTTATCTGAAAAGAGGCAACGGGGTCAAAGATGACAGCCATCTAATGCACAATGTGGTAATGTAATTTCACCTACGATCTGGGATTTATCATTTTTTGTGATTATTTTTGGACACAAAATGGAGGATCATAGGACAAAGGAACAAATGATTTGGTGAGATCGATCTTAGTTTTTTTTCCCAATCGTTGCATCTCTTTGGTGGAGATTGATTGTTATCACATTACGCTAACATTCAAAAGTTTGGGGTTGGTAAGATTTTGTTAATGTTTTTGAAAGAATTCTCTTCTGCTCAACAAGGCTGCATTTATTTGATCAAAAAATACAGTAAAACAGTAATATTGTGAAATATTATTACAATTTACTGGTTTCTATTTGAATATATTCTAAACTGTAATTTATTGCTGTGATCAAAGCTGAATTTTCAGCATCATTGCTCCAGTCTTCAGTGTCACATGACCCTTCAGAAATCATTCTGATATGATCCCAAACTTTTGAACCACAGGATATATTTTGGGGGATTTACAGTACGTGCTGATTAACTGAGCTTTAATTTACATTGATTATAATATTCTAATATGTTTGTGAGATGCATTTTGTATGTCCATATACATTTCGATAAATCAAGGTAAATAAAACAAGGTAAATCTGATCATGAAATGGTGGCAGGTATTTTTCTACAGGTCAAAGGTCAGCGCCTCACCTCTAATTCAGAGGTGCTCCTTTCGTAGCTGCCAAGGGGAACCACTCCTGACCTTTGGCCTGTAATGAAGGATCGCATGAGACTTATCTCCTCCGTCAGACGCGCCTGCAGTTCCTGTGTGAACAGGAAGAGGAAATGTGATTTTGAAACATCCAAACTAAAAACCACACATGAAGACATGCTCATTCACACACTGAAAGCGAGACGATCATTTGGGTTTTGTGCTGATCTGAATCCCATTTTGTAGCTTTTGAATAATGGCAATAACCCTGATTATTATTAGTAATCCAGTCCTGGATCAGTGAACAAATCTCACACCGACCCAGACAGTCACTCTGAACAATGAAACAGGATGCTGTCTGTTCATCATATTACAGATCTGTTTCCCCTCTGACTAATTTATACGAGTGTTGTAATTTTAAAGGTGCTGTGAGTTAGATTTCAATATCAGAAATGATGAATTGAGTCGCAGGATGAAATGTGATGTCTGAATGATCGCGTTTGCACATGAACGTTACCATAATTACTAGTTACCATAATTATAATTACTAAGCTTTTTTCAAGTTAGGAACGTAACAATTTATTGAGCAAGGATGCACTGAATTGATCAAAAGTGACAGTAAAGACACTTATAATGTTATAAAAGACTTCTATTTCAAATAAATGCTGTTCTTTTGAACTTTCATTAATCAAAGGATCCTGAAAATATGTATATTTACACAAAAACATCAAGCAGCACAACTGTTTTCAACACTAATAATAATCAGAAATGTTTCTTGAGCAGCAAATCAGAATGATTTCTGAAGATCATGTGACACTGAAGACTGGAGTAATGATGCTGAAAATTCAGCTGCGCGTCACAGGAATAAATTACATTTTATAATATATTCTCATAGAAAACAGTTATTTTAAATTGTAATAATATTTCACAATTTTACTATTTTTTCTGTAATAATAAATGCAGCCTTGGTGTGCAAAAGAGGCCTTTTTAAAAAAACATTAAACATCTTACAGACCCCAAACTTTTGAACAGACATTTCCTATAATTCTTTGTGGCAGCACATTACTGATAAAACATCAGTTTCACATCTAATGCATGTCACTTTATGTCATACTAGAAGTAAAAAAGCTTCCTGTGTTTGTCAGGAAGTAAAAAGAGCAACCGAGTTCATTTTATCCGGACCAAAATCACATTATAATTATGATTTCCTCATATCTGTGAACATTTCTTCCATGGACTTCCATGTTTTTTGGTCCAGTTAGTCTCAGAACCAGGGTGGATCCACACAAAACTGTGTATCACACACTATTTAACTGTCAAATCTGTCATTTTTGGACTCTAGATGTTTAAATTTCAGCATCAGATGGTGATCATGTGTCATCCAATCCTCTCATCCCACTTTCCTGTCTACCTGGTTCTCTTGGCTGAGCTGCTCCATCTCTCTCTCCTTCTGTCGGATCTCTCCGTTTTGCTCTTCAGTGCTGTTCTGGATGCGGTTGAGCTCCACGCACTGCTGGGAATAACGCTCCGACACACCGTCCAACTCCTGCTGCAGAGAGAGCGACTCGCGCCTGATAGACACACAAAGCCATGCATCGATTAACTGATGTAATGATTGACTAATGAGCGATCAGTTGATTCTCTCAGTGGGACTCTTCTCAATTACAAACTGTCAATCAAACACCTGCCACTTTTCGGAGTAAATGAAGCTCTTGTGTTCTGATTCTCTGAGCCGTGAGAGAGGAATTACAGCACAGCTGAGTGGGACAGATGAGAGTTTATGTACAGTACTGATTAGTGCCACTGGATTCCCATGAGAGTATGAACAAGATGGTGCTTTCTGGCATGCAATATCTTCTCAGAGAACTAAAATTCATACCAAAATCTTCAAACATGTCTGTGATGAATCTAACACACAGCAAACATGCAGTATTTCAGTATCTGCTAAAAATTAAAATTATTATCAGCAGAACCAAACTCCAGTGTAGCTACAGTGGGGCAAAAAAGTATTTAGTCAGCCACCAATTGTGCAAGTTCTCCCACTTAAAAAGATGAGAGAGGCCTGTAATTTTCATCATAGGTATACCTCAACTATGAGAGACAAAATGAGAAAAAAAAATCCAGAAAATCACATTGTAGGATTTTTAAAGATTGGTGGCTGACTAAATACTTTTTTTCCCCACTGTATATACAGCTTAACCCTAATAAAGCCTACTGTACCATATTTGATACATAAAGGCCACTAATTTATCAGCATGACCAAAATTGGGCTGAAAAACCCACAATCTACTACATGCCTTCTGTTGTTTGTTTGATAGTTTATACTTTTTTAGTAAGTCAAAGGACCTTTTAGTGTAATTGTACAAACGTCCACCTTCAGGTCATGGTTCATGTGTCTTTTTGCTGCGAAATCTTTACTAATTTTTAAAGTAAATGAAAGAATAACCTATATTGTTATTAGGTTTACTTGATTATCCATAGATATTGGATATCCTATATTGCTCTTGGTTATCTTGCTAAATAGCGAAAAGTGTATTTTGTATAAATTGTATAAATGTGGACGTACAGCTGTCGTCTGATGGAGGGGTCTTTCGTCTCTCCTCCTCCGTGACCCCTCAGCTTCTCAATCTCCTCCTGATGAGCTTTCCTCAGAGCCTCCATCGCTGCGGGATTGAAGACGAAAAGTATGATGTGAATGAAGCTTTATGGATAAAAGTCACTGAATTCTCATCTAATCAGATATCAAAATCAGTGTTAGTTTAATATCATTGGTATACTATTATAGTTTTTGTTAATATTTTGAATCAAACATGATTTCGACATTTTTTGTTTTCACTTGAATTTTAGTTAAAGATTTTGTATTTTTGTGTGTTTTTATCATTTGCATTATTTTTTTATTAGTTTATATAGTTCAGATACATTTTTATTTATTAGTTTTAGTTTATATTGGTATACTTTAAGTTAAACTAAATGAAGAATGAGAAATATAGCCTTGGCAACAATACGTTTTTTTCTTTTTTTTGTATTTTTATATTTTATGTCAGTTAAAATTTATATTTCATTATAAGTAATGAAAATGTTTTTTTTTTTTTAAGATTTCAGTTTTAGTTTTAGTTAACATTAACTCTAATCAAAATCACAAACTCAATTTAATCACTATATTTACCTTTATATACAAGTTTGGCCTCTGTAAGATTTTTTTAAATGTTTTTCTAAAGAAGTCTCCTATGTTCACTAAGGCTGCATTTATTTGATATACAATAAAAACATGCATATTGTGAAATATCATTATGTAATATATTCCTGTGATCAAAGCTGAATTTTCAGCATCATTACTCCAGTCTTCAGTGTCACATGATCTTCAGAAATCATTAGAATATGCTGATTTGCTGCTCAAGACACATTTCTGGTTATTATCAAAGTTGAAAATAGTTGTGCTGCTTCATATTTTTGTGGAAAACATAACACATTTTTTTTTTCAAGATTCTTGATGAATAGAAAGTTCAAAAGAACAGCATTTATTTTAAATAGAAATCTTCTGTAACATTATAAATGACTTTACTGTCACTTTTGATCAAATTAATGCATTTCTTTCTTTAAAAAATAAATGATTATATAACATCTTTATGTTGTATCACTTTTATTTGACCCTTGTGTCACTGATGTTCTGCGGCCCACACTAACCTTGGACTGCATTCTTGGCTTCCTCCTGCAGCAGTCTCTGTTTGTCTTTCTCAATCTCTCTGCGTTCTCGCTCGTGCTCGTCGTGTATCTTCTGCAGTCTCTCTCGGTGCTCCCTCTCCATCTGATTGAGTTTCAGAGAGCAGGGTGCGTCAGGACCGCAGACACTGGCCCCCACACGGACCTGACGAAGAGCCTCGATCTGCTGCCTCAGAGACACCACCTGACCAATGCAATGCATCCAGATCACACACACACACACAGATGATGCACATTAAATGGTCCTGGACCAACAAGGATGTCATGCTCGTCTAAATCCACAAACATACCTCTCGCTGAAGCACCTCATTTGTCGTTTGCGGATTCTGGAAACCTTCCGGTGACCTCTTTTCTCCGATTGGAAGCTGCTCAAAGTCCGCCCACTTCTTCTCGATGTTTGGCCCCATCTGAGCATCAGGAACCTGCGGCTGGGTCAAAATCACCGAAGTCACAACCCCCTTCTTCAATTCAACCCTATCCCAGGGGTCTTCACCCTCCCTGTCGGAAATTGTCTCCTGAAACCACTTGGTCCGGTCCTCCAGACGTCTTTCGAGCTCTCTGTCGCGCCCCTCGCCGGCCTCCCGCCGGTTGGTTAACAGTGAGGACCTCATGTTGGGTTCATCCTGATACGGACCACCGACATCTGACCCTGGGTCATGGGGTGCGGGAGAGGTTCGGGACGGTGCATTTTGGGAACTGGAGTTCTCTCTGTCGCTGATGTCACTGTTGTCTGGGTGTCTGAGAACAGGCAGAGATATCAACTTCCTACTTACATGAAAACAGTACCCTGAGTCAAACCTCAAACCTGCTCCTGTTAAACATCAGTGACAGTCATTTCATTTTAAAAGTCCAGAGCAAAATCTTTCAGATGACCTTAATCAATAAAGCAATGCTTTATTATGGATATTTAATATATTTTGAATATCCATATAAATTCTCTATGGGTGAATATCATGTTTCAACCTAAAATAAAAAGTAAAAAAAATTATTTAGCACAAAGATTAAAGCTTTGTTGTATTATTATGTTTTGTATTGAGATTAAGAAAATGAAGCCTAACTCTTTATTTATTTATTGCTTTTAATGACAATTAAGCACAATTTCCCACCCCAAGTTTAAATTTAAAGTTAATTTAAAGGTTGTAATTCTCATCAGTATCAATGATAATTCTCATTATTACACGGCTCTGTGGAATACTTGATTCTGATTGGTCAGTCGCGACATTCTGAGGTTTGTTATCCCTCGATAACAACCGGTAGTCATCCGGGTAACTGAAGTCGGCGCTATACTGCCAGGAAGAGTTTTTTCTGGTTGGAAGCTTTGCGTTTGTTTAGCTAATAAAATATTAAAACTCGATTCAAAATTGTGTACAATTATTTAATTATGTCATCCTGGTATCGCGGAATCGCTCTTTCGTTTCATACAAACGCAGCTGCTGCCATTTTGCTACGATTGTTTTGTACGCTGTAATGGATTATAAGATAACTAACAAACTGGTAAGATTTTAAAACATTTTCGATTACTTTTATAGCCATAATTATTTATGTGGTGAAATGTTGTGTAATAAGTGGTTTGAATGCACCATATCCCTTAAATGTCCGTCTAGTTTGAACTTGTCGCTTGCTCGCAACTGCTGTGTTCACGGAAGCTTTGCATTCAAATATTTCAACTCAAATCAATATTTCCTTACTTATGTGGCAAGTAGCCGTGTAATAAGCGGGATAATTTACATCCAGCCGGTAGTTATCGCTGAATAACCCCCTTCAGGGTGATACAAGACCCCTGATACAAGCATCCCTTACTTAGATGCTCATTAATGTAAAACTATGCTGTCAAGACACAATGATGTTTTAAATTTGTTTAATTTAAAGGCATTATAGCAAATACTACCATTGTGTATTATAAAATATGCTTAAAATCCTACAAATGTTTTATTGTCTAATCTCAAAATATATTTTTTGACAAAAAAATTTTTTCAGTCATTTTCTTGACATTTTACATGAAATTCACGCCTTATTGACTCTGCACTTGTCATACCGGATGCTTTCAGCCAAATTCCTGAATGAGATTCTCCTCCTCAGTGTGTCGATCCAGTTCCTCCTAATTCTGGAGGTCATCGCTGACAGGGTCACCAGTCCATCACGCATCTGCAGATCAATCAGACAGGTTTTGAGACATATGACCACATCAGGACTGTTCTTAATTTTTTGTGATGAGTTGTCCTCTTAACTTTTGTGTAACTTAAGTTCTTACATGCAATTGAAGTCCATAGTTTTTATCAGCATCAAATTCCTCCACTCGCAGACAGTGACGTAAATAAATCTCACCATCCGCCTCGTCTCTCTATCAAGGAGAAAAACACAGAATTCAAGATATCATCGTTAAATCTGATCATGCGTTCAGATACTATTACAACTATGGTATTTTCAGCTCCACGTTTAAATGTATTCCATGATTTCCTCGTGACCTATCTGTACAATCTGTAGATAATCATTTACATGGCAATTTCAGTTATTCTCGCTCACCTCTTCAGCCTCAGAGTCTCTATAGTATCTCAGTGCTGAGTCAGAGATCACAAACCAGTGCTTCCTCCACTGCAAATAAACACAAGTACTTCATAGTTGTCTATATCTATATGCATGACCATAAACAAAGCAACAGATTAATATTACATGATAATGAAAACCTTACATGTCTTTGCATACAATTTTCTAGCTCTTTGAACTTTTTTTAGTGAAGGTTTTAGGTAAAATAAAAAAAATAATCATTGGTCACCATTACCAAATTTTCACCTTTGTGCTTTTTAATCTCATTTAAATCAAATAAAACTTCAGCGTTAAAATTAAGTATAGCAAGACATGCTATGCCAATATCCCTATAACAGCCACAGACAGTCATGCAATGTAATGCAACCATAGACTGTATAAAAACGCATGCAACAGATCAAGTTTAACAGAAGCAGCCTGTATCCTTACCTCTTCATCTTCATCCAGCATATACATCCATCCCTTTTTACAGTTCAGAAGATCAAGCTTACAGGAAACAGACTCAGTTGCGTTAAAACAAGTGAATGCATAAGGAATTCAATATATAATCAACTGAACACGTACAGTACAAATCTTTCCAGAGCAACAATACGACTTTCCAGAGCACAGTAATCCAGAGTACGAGACATTCCAGAACTCCAGAACGAATCATTCACTCAAGTATTTCAACAAACACACACATACACTTTTTAAACGGTGTCTGAAGGCGTTCTGGGTGATTTTTAGTGGGTTGCTATGCAGCTACTAGGTTCTGAGTGGTTGCTAGGTGGTTACACGTCAAAATAATAATAATCTAGTCTCAAAAATAAGTCTCAGATGCTTCTTTCAGTTAGTGTAAGTCTATGGGATTTATCATCTGTCCAAATATGCGCCATTTTTATTTATTTATTTATGTTGTTTTTTTTTGGCTCCGAATAGATGACACGTGAGATGGCATCAATGAGAAAGGGAAGAAGTGTGTGAAACTGTAAACCCGGGCACCTGTGAATGGCCCGACGCAGTGCTGTTGGTTTTTGAGGAGCCTCCCATCTCTTTGTCTAGACGTCTGCGCTCTTTCTCTCTGCGGTCTCGTCCTCTCTCTCTTTCTCTTTCTCTTCCTCTGCCTCGCTCTTCTGAAACCTCATGCTCATTGTCATATCTCCCATCTCCATAGCTTTAACCACAGAAAGGAGAAGTAGAATTTACAGGAAAATATTTTTGATTGTACAAAGTGCATTTTAGGGGTGCCAAATGCATGCAAGGTCAAAAAAACGCTTTCTTTTTCTCAAAATGTGCATTTAATATCACCTCGTTTTCAAGCGATTCTCAAACGATTCGTTAGAAGAATTTAAGATTCAGTGTTTCTAAACCCCTCCTTTCCGTGAGGCTACTCTGCTCTGATTGGTCAGATGGCCCAGTCTGTTGGGATTGGTCTACCGCGTACAGCGTGTGTCGGAAACATATACAGTATGTTGAATACAAGTAGTTCTATCTTATTTACTGAATTTAAACAATGAGATTAGTCACAATTTTTTTTCCTATTGACAGCACTAGTTTTTAACACTTAGTAATAATACAATATAAACAATTAAACATAAAAAAAAAATAAAAATAAAAAAAAAACTAACTAAATATACTGTTTTAATAGTTAAAAAAATTTTCTCATACAGCTTTTAGGAAAATAGGCCATCCTCTGGGAATCTTCATATCTGATGATCCATCAGAAAGTTTGAAAACCCCTGATATTGTACTTTACTTGTTTATTTACATTTTAAGCTTAGTTTTAGACCTTATTTTAACATCCAGTAATTTGGTTTGCCAATCTTCTGCTAACACTGATGTAATGGACACAAGTTATTTAATTATAATTAAGATGGAAGCTGGAAATAAAGGGATTGTAGTAACGTGTCTTGGGATGTCCATCACTTTCCGTGAGCCACTATTTTTTCTGTGGAAATGCTCAGATTAGGCATCTGCTTTTGCATCAGCACCAGCACCATGTCAGTGCAAACGTGGTACAACTCTCCATCTCTCTTCAAATCTCTGACCTGTGCTGATTGTCTCTGCGTGGGCTCCGGCTCTGCGGCCTCCTTCTGACTATTATTGCTTCTTCTTCCTCAGGGTACAGTTTAGATCGGGGAATATTAGCTATGATCACATAATCCTCAATGGTCATCTCTGGCACTGCTGGTTGACTGGAAGACCTGGTGTTCTCTGAAAGAATTAGCGCCTCCAAGCCCCGCCTGATGCTGCTTCTGCTCCGATCATTGACCGGTTTATCCGTCTCTGCAGTTAAGGCATGGGATTTGGGCAAATCAGGGGACGGAACCTGATTCCAGCTCCGCCTTGATTGAGAGATGTTTGGCGTTGATGCAGGTGAGGCGGGGCTTAGAGGGGAGAGGGCGGGGCTTAGAGGGGAGAGGGTGGGGCTTAGAGATTGGCGGGAATCAGATCTGTATTGTTTGTCTGAGGCATCTGAGTATCCGCCATTCCTAAGGCTTTTGTTTTTCAAAGTACCGTATTTTAGTGTACCATGTTTATCATAATTTTTATAAGGTGTTGAGGCACCAGGGCTGTTAGAACCACTGTTGCGACTGTTGTAACCACTGTTTCGACTGACGTGGCTTGTTTTGTCATCACAGTAGCCTCCTGTTGGAGAGAAATTCCGGCTGGTGTAGCCAATACTGCGGCCCCCACTCTTTTGACTGCTGCGACCGCTATTGTGACCACTGTGGTTGCGTTCATTATAATCGCTGTTGATTTCCACATCAGAATGTCTTTTTGACCAGCCGTTCCTTTCTTCAGAGGCATCTGACTCTGCCGAACTTGCAATTGATTTGAGATTCTTATACAGCTTTTCAGAATCCAAGCTGTGCCCGTAGGAGCTCTGGGAAGGGCTTCTTTTGTGGGCGGGGCTAAAGGATTCTCCATTTTTATTCGGACCCGAGCTTTGTGAGGGACACGTGGTGTGCGTGACCACTGAATCTCGTCTTCGTGATGGAGTGCATTTCCCAGAAGCCTGCTGAGAGGACGTGTGGGACGTCCAGTGACCGTGTGCAGCAGAACCTCGGCGATGGGACGAACTGCGCGATTCCCCTCGCCTTTGCGGCGAAACATTGGTAGATCTCGGACTGCCGGAGCAAGGGCTTGCACGAGATTGGCTGTCCCCACGTCTGAAATTTGAATAGGACATGTGTCGCTGGGGGGAGAGGCCACTCATTGCCTCGTTGCTGAGATTGTTGGAGCGCCTCCTATTGGACGGGAGACCCAGGTCTGGGTTTCGGAAGGGGATGGTGGCTTTGCGCTCAGGACTGTGGGTGACTGGAAGAGGGTGGCCTCTCTCGAAGTGGCGCATGGGAGCAGGAGGACTGCCATCTTCCTGTTCCCTGTCCCGTGAGAGGAAGCGATTGGTTCTTTTAAAAACGGCGCGGCTGCTGCTGCTTTGTTCCACTTCTCTTCTAGTCTCTGTTTGAGGAAGACATGCATTGATATTGTGCTGATGCATACAAATGATTAAAATAAATGAATAATTAAATGGTTAAATAATTAACATTATAAAGTATTGTTCATTGATTATTGAATACACAGGACAAAATATACTAATATGCACTCACTTCTGCAGTCCTACAGTATAAAGCCTACTGTATTATAATTGATATGCACATTTCTAATTATCAAGCCCTGTTGTACACAATCTACTACATGTCTTATGTCTTTACAGTTTTTTTTTAGCAAGGCCTTTTATTCAAATTGTAAATATAAAAGTAAATGCAAGAATTATTATTATGTTGTTAATGTTTCAAGATGAACATTTACTGGACTGAAGCAGATTTGGTTTACTTGATTATCCACACATCATTTTTAAGAAAAAAAACATGTTAAAATGTGAGTTTCAAATATGAGCCATCAGGCTTTTGAGGAACTTTTATTTGTTCATCTCTCAGTCATCATTGTATTGCATTGCATTATAAGTTTTGAAACTACAATTACATCTTACTAAGACATATTATTTGGAAATATATAGTGACAACTGATATTTAAATGCTTTTTATGTAAGTAGTCTGTTTACTATTATAAAGATCTCATTGATTTACATTACAAGCTTTTTGGCCAAATAAATATCAGTTACTGCACCAAATAATATATTTTTGCCCAGTTTGGCCCTTTTTTCCCCTTCTTCTACTTTTAAAAAAAGTTTTTTTCTGACTATTATTTCATATGTAAGGCTTTACGGGGTTAAATCTCACCTGTGTGTTGGCTGACACTTCCTCTTCTGCTTGTGTTGGCGCTCCCTCTCCTGCTCTGCATTTCTATCACAGAGCGACTTTCTGAGCGCTGGAGAGCAGGTTCCAATCGAGTCATGCTTTCGGTCTCTTAGTTCAGTAATAATTGTTCCTTTAGATTGCAGTTGAGTTCTTCAGGTCAACTCTCAGAGGTCACGCTTTGGTCTAGAGCTGTTGCTTGTGTCTGCACATAAAAGATCATCAGATTTATTCTACAGACAATTTTTTTTTTTACATTTTGCTTTCTTGATAAGTTAGCCCACATGGAACTTTTTTTGTGTTATCTGTGGAATTATGCATCTCGCAACTCAATTCAATATGTATACAGTGCTCTTACTGGTAGATAATTATCTATTTGCCTAAATTTCTCAACAATTTTATAAAAATTGACACTGTGCTACTTGTTCCTGGTTTGCAGAGAAGTTGATTAGTAGTAGATTAAAGCAGATGGCGCAACACTCTTTGTTTTAATTTCTGTTTCTCTTTGAAATTAATTTGTAACTTAATTTCTAATTCATTTTTTTTTTCTAATTGAAATGTAGAGAATATAAATGAATTAGATTTTTAAAAGTTTACATTTTTATATAAAATAGTTGGAAATAATGCAACATTAACTTTTAACTTAACTTTTTTTTGTCTATATCTTTTGTTGTTTTATTCAAAATTGAATAAATTTATTTTAATTGTAGTTTTATTATTAGTACACTAAGTTTAACTAAAAAATGAGAAATGTTGCTAGGTGAAATTAAATTGTAAGTAATTTATGTTATAAAATGTTATTTTAGTAACAATGTTTTTATGGTTTCAGTTTTAGTTAACTATAATAATAGTTTGGGCACCTCTGGTTTAAGCAAAACTGATTTTTGCCCATTAGTCCGATTCTTTTTTATGTGTGTGTTTCTGTGCACTGTTGAAATTTTGTTGTATAGACAGAAACTTTATTGCATTGTCCATTTACTAATTTGCATGTAAACAACAAAATGCATTTTTTAATTATCTGATTTTCGTTTTATTGTAGATCATCTGGTTACTCTGACGGCCCTTCAGATTGACAATACACACCAGATTGATGCACACGGTCATGTCAAGAGACGAAGTAGCACAGAACAAACTGACATCACAGCGGCTGCTTGTTCAGGACGCATCACCTTAATTTCCCTGATTGCCAGATTGTGATGGAATCCAAGCACTCTTGAATAATTTACATCTCTGAGGTGAAGGTAGAGACTTTTAACTCCTAAATACAGCGATAAGTGCAATCTTAGCAGGATCTGTACCAGAAACAGGATATTTTAATGTAGCTCATGGGTTAAACAAGTTCCTTGAGGCTTAAAGGTTAGACGGTTTTTATGCCAGAGCTCAAGCTACTAATCAAGTAATGTTACATTTGACAGTAACTCAATTTAACATCTACATATATGTTTGAGGCATGAGACATGCAAGGTTAGCAAGACATGCACCTTTTAACGTAAGACAAAAGTAACCAGCAATGGTGAAACATAATAGCACATAAGTCAATCCAAAAGCAGAAGTCCACAAATAAAACACTCCACAAACCTTCTCAACACTCCCAAGACTTCGCTAATGCCCTTGCCAGCGTCTTCCCATCTCTGTGGCGTTCCTCCTCTGGGTCTTTCCTTCATTACTTTAGGAGCGGCAGGTGTAACTTAAGCTAGACTCTGCCTCTCCTCATGACTATTTCATCAAACCTGGTCTGTCCCTGTTGCACCCGAGTCCTCTTCCTTGTGCTCCTGTTCTCAGTTCACATGTTCTTCTCCTCATCCTCTGTGTTCTTCTGTTATTTCCAGCTCTGCCTCTGGTTCTTCCCCAGTCAGTTTTCCAACACTCTGGTCCTTCACCTGCTGGTTACGGCGCATATCCAGCGTCGGTGGACATGAGCCATGCTCTCGCAGCTCAGTTGGACGTGACTGATGACTTTGTGATTCGAGTACGCTGCTGTTTCGTATTTTAGCATCCATGTTGTACCGGAATATAGTGTTACGGTCTGTTCCCTGAGGACATGATCGGCTCATTAAAATGCAACGGGATCACAGAGCAAACCTCTTATTCCCCTTTTTTTCCCATGAAGTCACACTGTTGGCATCTCAAGCTCTAATGCTAATTGAAGTGCAGAACACTTTAACCTTCGTGGGTTGCACTTGGCAAAGGCCTTCTGACAAAAAGCAATATTACGATTGCACTATAATTTTAATATAAAAGGCCACACCCTTATTTACTCTTTAGGAACCAAACATTCAATTGTTTTATTTGTTTGCACATTTTCTAAAGTAAATTTATGTGGTGTTTGCCTGTGCGAAACGCACCACCATGATGCTGAAATGTTTTGGGTGGTTGCCAGGGCGTTGCTATGACATTGCTTGAGTGTTCTGAGTGGTTGTCAGGGTGTTGCTATGAGGCTGCTAGGGTGTTCTGAGTTGTTGCCAGGGCAATGCTATGAAGATGTTCTAAGTGGTTGCCAGGGTGTTGCTATAAGGGTTGCTAGGGTGTTCTGAGTGGTTGCCAGGGGGTTGCTATGAAGGTGTTCTAAGTGGTTGCCAGGGTGTTGCTATGATGTTACTAGAGTGTTCTGAGTGGTTCCCAGGGCAATGCTGTGAAGTTGCTAAGGTGTTCTGAGTGATTGCCAGGGTGTTGCTATGAGGTTGCTAGGGTGTTCTGAGTGGTTGTCAGGCAGTTGCTATGAAGGTGTTCTAAGTGGTTGCTAGAGTGTTGCTATGTGGTTGCCAGGATGTTGCAATGAGGTTGCTAAGGTTAGCAGATGACTATGTGGTTACTAGGGTGTTGTGCGAGGTTACTTTGAGGCTGCTAAGTGTTAAGGGTATTGAAAACTCCATAACTTTAACTATGAGTAGTAATAATAGTGAGGCTGCTCTTGGTGAAAAGAAAGTGTAAAACTATCCTAAATAAAGCGTTTAATGTTTGATCTCAGGATGAATATCTAAATCAAGTGATGTACTTTACTGGAGCACAATGTGAAGTAGTTTAAAGTTACGTTGCAACATATCAGAGAAGACCAAGAGACGTGAGCTGAAGGGTCTCCATTGTGTCTCTCCTCCATGGCCATGTGGGGTCTAGCTGGTGTTTTCTGCCTGCAGGACGCTTTGACTCAGGAGGACAGACAACATCTGTCGTTCTTTGCCCCCCCCTTCCCTCCATTCATAGGCACACACTGCCTCTCCCAAATGGTGCCCTTTTGTATCGGCTATTGTCCGCTGCTACATTGTGTGACTCTGCCTGTTCCCCAGAGCTCCATTGATGAGTGTTGTAAGAGACCTCAGCCAGAACTCTTCCGAACTTCTCCTCAAGCTTAATGTTCAGCCATAAAAGCTCAACAAAAGACATTTTGTTCTCTAGCTGCATCAGTGTTAGGATACAAAATCTCGTACAAACTTTCTCTTAATAGAAAGCGCAAGAGAACATCATTAAAAAAAACTTGTATTTTTTTCTTGGTTTTGGTTGTAGTTTTGGTGATGTGTTTGAAATCAAGCAAGGCTTTCCTGCCAAAACACCTGCCAAGTAGTTTCATCCAGTTAGGAAATGTGCCAACTAGTTCAGTTTTTTTCCCCTCCCCAAAGCCTTAAATTTCTCTCTCTAGTGTAGCATCTGGACCAATCAGACACACCATTTTTCATTAGATTTAACAAATCAATTATTCATTAGATGAACAAATAGTCACAGACCCCTCACCCAATAACCTACTGGGTGCCAGGATGTCTGCGAACGACCACAGGCCACTGGTTACCATGGCAACCACGACACCTTTGCTAGACCAGATACATTTACGACCTAATGGAATGTTGAGAATTCCCCCTGTCACTACATTTTCCATAGGAAAGACACAGTGCACAGTAAAAATTGACTCTTCTCTAATTAATTAATAGGAAAACCTTCTTTGAATGAACACACATATCCTTCAGGTCATTGTGTATGTTGTCGTTATATTGTATACTGTTTATGCAGGCTTGTGATGGAACCACTCGTTATGATTAATTATTCATATTTCCCCTTGAGCTGATTCGCTACACTAGTCTGGTTGGATAACTTGTAAACATCCTGCAGCTATTTGACGGCATTTCTCAAAGGCCCTTCTCTTGAGCGATGCACCCGCAACAGGCAGAATGTGGGGTAAAGCCATGAATAGCCCAGTATGGGGTGACCGAGAGGCCAGAGCAGATGTTAATGATTAGCTTCGTTCTCATCCCTATAAAGGACCTGCATCCCAATCTATTCCCCATTTTCTAGAGTCATTTCCAACCCTTACAGAGTGGAGCACATAGAAGTCATAAATCCAGCATCCAGAAAAATCTTGATAGAAAATGCGAACCGAAACAAAAGAGGCTTATTAGAAAAAAGGGCTACAATTTAGCAGAGTCTCACAACACTTTAAAGGTTTTGCAGTTTGTTTTTGGTAGTTTATGCGGTTTATAAGTTTGTCTTTTCTTTAGGCTGAAAATGTTGTAAGAATTGTGTCAGCATTCAAATATGAATGTAAAGATGCTCTGTTTTAACATTTAAGCCCAGTGTATGTGAAACAGAAGTGTGTGGTGGAGTTAATAAAACAATGAAATACTTTCGATAGTTCATAATCTTTATTTGGAAAAATAATTTAAGCTAAAACTTCATTCAGAGAAAGAAAATCAAACAAAAGCCTGTTAATGAAAACAATAGCATTAATAACATTTTTACAATCCTTCTTTAAATAACTTTTTGTCAAAACATCCCAGCAACCCGAAGTGCCTTTGCAAGTAACAGGAACAACTTAGGAAAAACGCAAACTTAAATAATCTTAAAAACATTACAAATATTTAGAAATACAACTTAAATAAAAATAAATTAACTTAAATCATACAACTCTTGTTATAAAAAAGAAAATAAAAAAACATACAAACAAGGATATTATTCATCATCAACAACACAAAACGTTTTTTTTTTTTTTACGTCGAAAAACCAATTACATACATTTTCTAAACCATAATGCAAAAAAGCGGAGGCTTGGAAGACTTTGAGATTTTTTTGAGCACTTACACATAGATTCCACTGGTCATGTGACAGGATATGACA